CCCCCCCCCCGCAACTCTTCTAAACTGAACCAACCCTATAGATCATTAATAGGCATACAAGATTTTTGCCATGGGATGGCTTTGAAATGAAAACAAACTTGATTTATGCTTCTAACAATCTGCTAAACAGAGAGGTTCTTGTAAGAGTAGATTCCCCCCCCCTCCCCCAACTCTTCTAAACTGAACCAATCCTATAGATCATTAATAGGCATACAAGATTTTTGCCATGGGATATACAAATTATATGTTCTAACAAGGGTGCACCTCTGTACGTGTGTCTATATTGCCAGTTTGGTGATAAAAGACTACATGTTGTCTTAAACTGGGGAACTGTATTAAATCTCCCTAATTGAGGTTATGTTTGGTACCATCCTGTTTCTACTTGAAACATTGTGGGTTAATTAATACAAATTGTATTTTATCTGAAATGTCAAACTATAAATGTCAATGATCAAAAAAATCTAGAAACATCAATGATCAGTCCCATGCATGCATTTTTTTCTAATTAGAGGACTTTCATACGTGGTATGACTACACATTTCTCACCTTGTAAACTTTGACAACACATAAAAATAAATCTACAGTATTTATCATTACTAAATCTACAGTATAACATATTTTTTTAGTTTGTAACAGTGTAACATCTTTCAGTACACATACAATACATTTGATGGTTCTAAGTTCTAACCATGGATAATTAAAGGTTCAGAACTATGATTGATTTGTCATGCACAAGTGAAAAAATATATAATTTTTTAATGTTAAAAAATATTTTCTTGAGTTTTTTTTTTAAGTGTTTATCCTGTATTTCTGAAAACACCATATTATTTGCATATACATTTTTTAAATTGTTCATTTGCCTTTGCATATCTTACATATACAATTTGGGATGTTTTCTCTATAAAAAAAATTCAATTCGCACAATAATGCGCATATTTTGTTGTATGCACCAATCAAGGGAAGCACGTACTTAGAAATTCTTACCCCGCAACAAAAGAAGCATTAGACATGGTGATCAAAGTTTACAAGTTTACATCAACAAAAGTAGCATTAGTTAGACATGGTGATCATGAAAGTAATTTCATGATCCTTACCAACTTATGTCATTTTTATGGCTATCTTTATTTTATATTTTCTAATGTCTAGGGAAGTTGCCCATCGTCTTCATTATTCATCTACTCCAAAATTGAAGATTCCAGCACTGTACAGGGCGCACAAGCAAATGGTCTCAAGGGATTATTGATCGGTGGGAAGTCCATTCTGTGTCCATGCAGAATACCCTCCAGCTATGTCAGTAATCCCAGTAAAACCCTGCAGATAACATAAAGAACGTGATTTTCCATCAGATACTTCAATGAATTCAACTTCAATTCGAATATAGTTAATTGGCATTCTATACTTAGTAGACAAGTTCAGTTGCACTAGGCAAGTAAGTTTATTTTTTTAAATGAAGAATGCCGCACTCACTGTTGGTCATGTACCAAATAAACAAAATGGAAGTTACTTCTCTAGAACATCAAACGCTTGAGACATTTCACAGTCCAGGTATCAAGGAAAATGGAAAACTAAAGAATGTTTACAGTAGAGTTTTTTTTTTTTTATCGTTTACAGTAGAGCAAGTTAAAGAGCAGAATGACAGCAAAGTTACAAGCCTAAGTCTTTTTTCTCCTTTTGCATTCAAAAACGTGGAATCCCATCTCCCCATAGAATATCTTCATCCTGACAAACCTTTCAAGTTAGAATGCAACTTTGCATAAAATCTGTGCAAACCTTCTTTTTCTCTAGCATCTAGTGAATAACAAAGAGAAAGGGAAAATCCACGTATTCAAAAAGTCCAACTGCTCTTTTTTAACAGGGATTCGAAAAGAGCTATAAGACAGTACTATAAGTAGGCATACTTCCTCTCACAGATTGTCAGGGAAGATATATGTGCTCTTTAAACGTGGAAGAGCAGAGTAAGAATTACATTCTCTATTTCCACTGAAGGAACTGTGCATTGGATAAGCAACAGTTTATTGTTGTGCCTTGATGATATCCAGTTTCAATCCCATATCAATCCCCTGGATTTCCATTTCATTCTACAGCCAATTTTCTGAGCAAATGTGAAATTGGCCAGAGTTGTAAGTTTCCTTCAAAAAACTATCCAGCTTTGTGAGTTTGAGGCAACAACATCAAATGGAAAAAGTGTCAAATTAATGAAACCCGTCACTTATCAAAGAGAAGTCAGAGGATTTATCTTGAAATAACTAAATTTTAACAAGAATTAACTATTCCATAGCTACACATTTAAAAGTTAAAACAAGTTCAAAATGTTTCGCCATTCCTTATTTAATAATCTAACAAGGATAGAATAGATAACTTGGTTAAACATTCACAAATGAAGTATTATCTTAAGCTTCCAGAAAATAGGCAAAAGGAAAAGAATCTAGAAATGTATACTTTTGCTGTCTAGCCCATTGTAGTATGACCCTTAGCACCTTTCATGCTCATTTTAAATCCTAATGGACCGATATCTCCCATCCTTGCTCTCTTCTTTGTTTTTTTATCAATTTGCACTCTTCTTCATTGAAAACATTCAATGCCTCTTTGGTTTCTATCATTAACCCTTGTTTTATTTCCAGAATATAGGACCGACTTTTCAGGCACATGAGCACATCCCACTTCTTCTTTACATGTTCCACATGTCAATCTTCACCTTGGTTTTCTTTTTGATACCCTAAAAGCATCTTAGCATTTCTAAATTTTGAGGCTATCGAACCAAGCAACTTTTAATTCAATATAAAAGCAAAAACCTTCAAAACTGACCTTTATTTTTATTGTTGAAAGAAAAACATGATACTGTGGAGATATGAATAAATAGATTAGAATGTGAATTGAAGAAAGAAAACAGATAGTGAAATCTCATTCTTTATTTTTTTAATATGCTGGAATCCTTGTTTAAGAAACAAGCAATGGGTTTAAAGCCCTACTTACATCAGATAAAAGTTCTGTAGCAGCCATAAGTGACCTTTTCCCACTCTGGCATCCCTGAAAAGGTAGAAATGGAGTCAGCATGTTGAGGTGAGCAACTGTAGTAGGAAGGAGCCTGAAATTCAAGCCAAATAGAATAAGATTTTGGCACATGTACTCACAACAATGATCTCAGTGTCCTTTCCAAAATGTGATGAGACTTCCTTCAAAAAATTAGGGTTTTTTGTCATCCCTACATCAACAAAGAGAAGAAAACAATTAACGAGTGAACTCGAATGGCAACCCAGACATGCTATTAGCACCGAAGGTAGAGATAAAATTATGTTAGATATACTTTTATATTATATTGCTTCTTGTATTTTTGAATGCATTAGTCATCTCTGGCACGCTATCACAAGCTCTGTTATATGTTTACCCTTGTGCAAAAATTGCAATTTTCATAAAAGAGAAATTACACCCTATCAAACTTATAAGGCAGGCATAAATTTGCCAGAAAACCATGGCAGATTGGCAGCAGCTTACACTTGACTGTTATTACTGCATCTACGCCACAGAGAATGTGGTGGATTGAGCACAACTGTTTTGGCAAGAAAGGAAGAAAGTAGTATGCTATCTGTAATCAATCGTAAAACCAAGTTTAACGAGTCTCTGACTGGTCAAAACTCAATCTGCTTTGTGCAGCCACATAAAAGTGATGCTCAAGAAGAGCCTCTGTGGAATCGATACAAATAACAAATTGGAGATACGTCAATTGGAAGAGTTGCTCCATAGTCACAATTTCCATTATATGCAAAAGATAAAGCAGGAAATAAAAAAGGTAATAGATTGAGAATAATATAGAGAGGGAATAGATTTAATAGGGATCAATACCCGCTCCGGCTCTGAACATGTAAGGAATATTTATAGCCGCTGAAGCATGACCACCACCGAACTCCTCAGGAGTCCTACAAAATCACAATCAGAAACATCGAGAAACCTAATCCGTCAAGTTGCAATCTTACACATCAAAATGCATTAAGAAATTCCCCCAAGTAAAATAGCAGCACCTGACATCCAGGTAGCGGTGTCCCGCCTGAAGAAGTTCGTACGCAACACGGACAGGTACCGAACGAGGAACAGCTATCGGTTCTGAACTCTCTGACCCTACTGCGGCGGAAATAGACCTGCATTACCGATATACAATCGTCGTCGAATTGATGCTTGATAGATCAAAACTAAAAAAACAAATACAAAAATGATTTTAAAAAATCAGAGTCCTCGAAACACTTAGAAATTTAAGCCTAAAAGGTACCGGAAGTTCCATGTCCTGATTTTGGCGCCGACGGGATGCACAAGTGGGAAATTAACTTTCACCGGCGAGGGAAAATTCCTGAAAAATATCGGATTTTGATGTTAGAAATGAGGGAGAGAAAGCTGATAAAATAAATGAAAGATAAAAACGCTAAGGATATAGATAAACCTAGTATTAAGAAGTTGAGTAGCATGCAGGCGAGGAAGGAGGAAGCAGCGAGCAGAGCAAACGGAGGTAACGAAGGAGGACGTTGTCGCCATTTTTTCTTTCTCAATCACTCGCACCAGAAATTTTTTATGTGCTCATTGCTCAAGTTGGTATAGCGATGTGTTGATGACGTGGCGAGTTTAAGAATCATAATTAATTAATAATAGGATGGTAAATTGGTAACGTCGTCTATCACGTGGGGATGGGGCATCTTTAAATTTTAACCGGTACTAGCGGGGGAAAATGCCATTTAGACGAGTTCAAATCAGCCCCACCCCCACCCCAACAACGTCCCACAGCACATCCGTGCCGTGTATTGGGAACATCTCCCGATGATAATATCCAAAATGATAATATCATAGGGAGATGGAGATGTTTCCATTACAGGGCGGGGATGTGCTGTGAGATTTTATGGGGGACTGATTTGGTCTCCATTTAGACAAAGGATAAAGGGTAAAACACAAAAACCTCCCTCCTCCTCTCAAGCTTCACTTTGATAAAGTCCTCCCTGACCCTGAACTTTTGGAAAACTTGGGAAAAGCCTCCCTTCCATCACCAACCCAGCGTAAAACGTTGGACTGATGCATTATTTTTTTAAAAAAAACTCATTTTATCCTTTTGCATATAATTTTACATACTAGTAAAATAACTCTAAAGGAAACTTTAATTTGAATAACCTATTTATCGTCTTCTTTCTCTTTCAATCTACCACTGCTGAAACTCCCAACAAGAAAAGAGGAAACATTCAACCACCATATCTGGAAAGCAAATGAAACTTGGATGTTTATTGCGGCTTGCAAGGCATTTACAACAACTACTTTTACTATCGTCGAACTCAGAAATGAAATATATTCTCATAATTGTGTTTATGCTATGTCATTAATAACAATACTAACAAAGAGTAGTATTGAAGATGTTCAACTTTTTTGACCCGGTCACAAAGAATTGAGGTTCTGATCAAATTTAATAACCGATTTATACAAAATTTTTTGAAAATTTCATTATCAAAATTTGGAAGAAAAAATGTGAAAAAGAAAAACATACAAAGAGAAAGAGAATGAAAACTAGTTAAAAGAGTTTGTTCTAAGGAATGCCATATACTGGAAGTAAATAGCAAACACTACATTTCACTGAAAGTCACTTCAAAATGAACCAAAGGAAAAATAAGGCTACTTCAACTGAAGTCTAGAAGGAAAGAAGACTAACCTGCTACAACAGATCTTCTGTTCAACTCCATTCATGATAACTTTGGCAGTTTTAGTGTGAGCCTCGCGAACTTTGTGCCTCTTGTGGTAGTCCTTTGAGGAATTGAGATCCATTTCACCATGAACTTAGGAAAAGGGAATATGAGAATTCAAATTCATCATGCGAGATCTTTTTGTAGGTATAGCTGACCTCATTTTGCATAAAACCGGATATTTTTTGGAAGATTCACCATTCTGTGCATCTCTATGGTCAGGCGGCTCCTCTTCTCTCAATAATGCTTTTAGAGTAACTACGCAAGAAGGAGAAACCTCTATTTCAACTTTACTCCTACTTCCCAAAAAACCCACAAATTTGGTTCGTTAGGAAGTGGCTTCTTGGTGGCTGCAAGGAAACCCAATTCCACTTTTCTACTTCTTGCAAGAGTGTCAAGGTCACTGCAGTTTCCCTTATTCTTGATGGTCGCACCACTTTACAGTGGCTGAATGCTTCCTTTTTTTGATACAATGGAGTTTCTGGGGTAGGAGATGAAAAGACCGAAAGAGGAGAAGAGGAGACAAATGGGTTATTCAAGTTAAATTTTCTTTTTAGTAAAGTAGATATTTTGAAATGTGAAATCATATAAAAGGGTAAAATAGATATTTTGAAAAAAAATAATGCATTACTAAAACGTTTTCAGTTTGAGTTAGTGATTGAATGGAGGTTTTTGTTGAATTTTTTTTTTTTTAAGTTTAAGGGGGGTTTTTGTTAAAATGAAACTTGAGGGGAGTTGTTACAAACCTTAGGGGAAGTTTTTGTATTTTACCCTAATAAATTAGGTTATATTTTTGTTAAATAAAATAACTATAACTATATTATTATAAACAATAAATAATTATAGTGAGCTTCAATCTTGTTTAGAGTTGTCAACAAATCAGGACTAGGTAGAACTAATCTTGAAGCAATTGTTTAATTGGGATAAAATCGTTGATTATATTGAAAACAATAGTTAAAATAATATTAAATTATTTTTATATTAATAAGTTAAACATTTTTAACTAATATTATCTTATTTATTATTTATAAAATTGATTATTTTTCATAAATATTAGATTCGAGACTTGAATCAATTCTAGATAGGTAAGAACGAGAATTGATCCAATAATTAATTGAGACAAAATCATGGAACCAAAACCGCTATAATTATGTTCATTCAATTTAGCTCCTTGAAGATAGATCCGACCCATTGGTTCAGCCCTATTTTTTCTTAAATAAATTAAGGTTTATATAACAATTTGTTAAATTGAATAAAATAAATAAATAAAAGTTTTATTGGGATGAGACTCGTATAGGCTATCTTGAACCTGACCCGACCCATTGTTCATGTCAAATTCAATCCAATCCGGAGATCCGATTAAATCTGATAGGACTCAATTTGAATTTGAATCCTATCGGTAAGTCAGATCTTCGGATCTAATCCTATCCGACTTGTTTTCTTTAAAAATTAATAAAATTATTCAAAGAAAAATAAAAATGTACTAATTTAAATAAAGTAAAAACAAAAAATATATTTTCATCATATATATACATGTTTTTTATAAAAAATAAATAATATAACAAATTTATAAATATATAATATATGATCTTCTCGGATTAGATAGGGGGTGATCAAAATCTGATGGGATCCTATTATTTGGTCCAATCTAAAGATCCGAATAAAGGTGATCCAAATTCGGCCAAATATTTATTAAAATCTCTCTCAAAGTCAAAACTCCTTTATTTTACTGAATTATTTTATTATAGAGAATAAAAAATTAAAACTCAAAACTGCTACTGCGGATCAAATGGATGGTTTGCGTTGGGAATTAGACTAACGTGTGTAAAGCTGCTTTTTTTAGAACACAAGCGATGGTCGGTCGAGGAATAGGATTAAAAGTGTGAGGATGAATGGATGCTTAGTATTCTGAATAGGGATGACTCGACGCCACGTTGTCATGGAACTGTTTGCACTTTGTAGTATATCCACAGAAAGAAAGAGAGACTTATCTTGATTCCGTCCGTCTAATATTTCGTATTTTCTAGCTCAGCTTTATCCACAATAAATAGTGAGATGAGGTCCATTTGGTATGATGGTATGCTTAAGCTATGTGTCCTGTTGGGTGAGACAAAGGAGCCCCGACCTCCATCGGATCGTCGGGACCATGGACCAAGCAGAGAAAACTTTGGCTGTATACTTATTAATAGCGGAAAAGTATGGATATGCGTAATGCAGATTTCTGAATTTTACTGTATATATATAAACATTCAAAATGTGTCAAATGCTCCTATTTTATACATTAATGTCCGCCCATGAATTGGCATTAATTTCGAGTTGGCATCTACCTCAACTGTATTTTTCAACTCTATGCTAAACTGTCATTTTCCCCTATTAATAGTATAATACTATGTATCCGTTTGGGAGGAATTTCATACAGTGGTTTCGGCTCAGTTTGGAAGAATTATAAATACAAATATGTAGTATATAAATATATGTATTTTGTATATATTTGCACTGTATATATTTGTATTTGTACTCCTTCCAAACTTCTATTTATAAATTATAATTATTCTACTTGAAGAGCAAAATGCCAATCAGCTGGTTGATAAGATCTACTATTTGATGTAAGATTGAGATTGATTTTGTTGTTGTTGAACCATTTAAATTTTCACCAATGGAGAAAAGTTTTCCACATTGATGAACGACTCAATTATCAAAACCTTATTGTGTGTTCATTGCTTATTAATACAACTCCTTTTTCTTGGTTGGTTCCATTCCAACATTTTTATTGCAAATGGAATAGCATTCTCCCATCTAACCATCTAAGAGAATGACCATTTCCTCTTACACCTATGGGAATAAGAATCCATTCCAACTAATTATGATTCCCATCTGAATCAAACAGACAAAAGGTGATGAAGATCAAAAGTCACTCATGGTCTCAGAATCAGCTAAAAGGTTGGACGGTTCCTGTAAGAGAAGACAAGGTTAGAGGGCTTGGGGTGAAATCCTGAGCTTAGGACTCCCATGAGCAAGTCAATAGAGGTTGCACTGTCCAAGATGATCAAACCAGAAATTAATGAGGCCAAAAGCATATAATGAATGTGAAATTAACCTTTAAATAGGCTCTCAGTGCTTGTGCCAAAAAGATATGTATCAGAGAGGTGTTGGACGCATGAAAGCTCGGTGAGACACCTGGAGTTGGAAGTCAATCAGGACAGCTGGAACTGAAGTGGAACACGTATAGGTGATTCATGCATCATGTTGTCAACACATGGAGGAAGCACGGGGCCCACTTATTAACGGGACAATCATGCGCAATGATGATATGATCAGGCGGGGCTACCAAATTGCCACTTCATATACAGGTGGTGGAGTTCAGGTGTGCTGCTTCCTTTTTTTTTTTCAAAACCGATTCAAGGCAGTCGTTTTAGGGCTCCTCTACCCCCTGAATCGGTCAGACTCTCAATACACCCACTATAGGGGTGTATCGGAGAGGTCCCGGAACGATATGGACCGATACATAATGATTTTTTGATCTTTAGGTGCAACTCCCCATAATAAAAGTGTGCTTTCTCACAGATCTAGCTCAAGTAGCACACCGAGCAACCATTAAGATTTAAGAAGTCAACAGTTCAATCAGGAGAGCAACTCATCATCAGCGAGCTATATTAGAGGGAGGTGGGCCCTGGGCGTGCAAGTAAGTTCTATGGGTCCAACATAGGTAGAGGCATGAGCGAGACCAGATCTGCTCCTCACACAGGGAGCCTCACATGCACATCGTACCATGCATTGGAAACATTTCCCATACTTACAAGTTATTATTTACGGGAGATGTTGTCAATGGTGGACGTGCATGTGAGGCGCCCTCGTGTGAAGAACAGATCCCGTTCCAGCATGAGCACCTTTTGTGCAACCGCATGTCTAAATTCCATTGGCGGTCACTTCTACCCCCATCAAAATTCAAAAGGTATAAACCATTCTGATTACAATTATAACGGATTTTAATTCCAATTCCAGCTGCAAACCAAACGGACCTATGTTGGGCCATTCTGATCCATTTGTTTGCAATGAAATGTTATTTGCATTAGTGCAAATAAGAAAGAATAATAAATTTGTACTCACTTTCGCAGATTTGCTTTGATGTTAACTTTGCTTTTAATAAAGCTTTATTTTATTTCATTTACACCGTAAAACAAACAAAATTAAATCAGCATTTGCACTCCCAAGGTTTCGCAGCGGAGCAAATGAAATAGCATTAAGCCATTAATTGCAAACAAAGCAGGTCCAATTCAAATCAAGCTCATCCCAATTAACAGCGTCCTTCCAAATGATTTTGGCCACCTCGAGGTCGAGGGCTGTAATCAGTCCCTCTCTAAATGATAATTGTATTCTAATTCGGCTAAAATGCAAAGAAAAACATATTTATTACCAAAAACTCAGCGAGAGAATAATGGGATAAGTGGTGCTCCTTGCAATATTGATACATGAGTGATAAAAAAAAAAGAACAATATTGATCATAGTTATCAAGGGGCGCTATAAGTCTATAACAAACAAATTATGCTTGAGAAGTGGACGCATCCTGATCGACGACGGTAGCCGTTTGATCACCACCGACAACAAAACCCCTATACATGGCATGGTCCACGAAACTGTAAAGCGGGGTCACCCTATCACCGTGTCTCTCCAATCCATCCAATTGTGCAATAGCCTTGGATCGAAGCTCCTGGGCCCATTCCAGAGCCCTATCTATACCAAACACCCCAGCATAGCTCTTACTCCTTTTGCTCCACACCTCTCCCCTCTCCCTCTTGCTCTTTGCTTCCAGCACGTCATCAACCACCTGATACAGTACCCCCACCGCCCGTCCATACTTCCTCAGCCTTTCTATCTCCTCGTCTTCAGCACCCCCCAATAATCCTCCGCACACCGCTGAGCATTCCGCCATTTCACCGAACTTCTTTTCTTGAACAAATTCCACCGACGCATCTCCTTCCAGATCTAAGAACTGACCGGCCGCCATGCCTGTGGATCCTACTGCACGGGCTATCTCCGCTATGACGCGGAGGAGACGTGTCTCCGGGACTAGTTCGGGCGGGGTTTGGGAAACGATGTGCTCGAACCCGAGCGGGAAGAGGGCGTCACCGGCGAGGACAGCCATATCGACGCCGAATACTGCGTGGTTTGTGGGGCGGCCTCGGCGTACAAGATCATCGTCCATGCTGGGAAGATCGTCGTGAATCAGAGAAGCGGCATGAACCTGTTCACAATCCATCAAAGCTATTTACAATTACAAGGGCCGATTCTCGTGTGTTGGAATTTTCTTTCTTTAAACTAAACGCCTTTCCTCCGTGACCGTGAGGAGGGACTCACTTAATGGTGTTTTCCTGGGTTTTTGTTTCTTGGAAAATTTCCCCTAACGGCGGAAACTGAAACTCCAATTCTTAAATAATAAGCAAATAAATGCAGGAAAACAATGAAATTTTTCATCTTCTAAAATACCTGGATCAAAAAATTCATCTTGCATTTATAATTCAACAAAAAAAAAACATAATTTGATTTGATATTCTGAAAAAAAATAATAATAATCTACCTTATTAAACTTAATAGGTTCAGAAGGCAGAACCACAGTTACAGTTCCTACAAGCTGACACATTAAGCAGCTAGCCAGCTAGTAGTACCGATTAGTTGTTTATAAGAAACAGGAAAAAACAATCTTTGAAGAACTTGCAACTTCTAGTAGGCCATTAGTTGTTAACTTGGACTGAAATAAATAAATGGGCAAATGCAATGAGATAATTTCAAATAAATAAATGCAATGAGTAAAGGAAAAGGAATACAAGGGAGGGCTGTTGTTACAAGACCATCTCAAGGGCGCAGGCGGTGGGGAAAGCGGCGTGGCGGTGGCCGCCGAAGAGCTCGCAGGCAGCGACACACATGACTGGTGGGGCACGCTTGGCTCCCTTGGCTAGGACCGAGTAGCGCATGGCCTCGTAGATCCGTTCTGGATATGCAATAGGGATTGCTTCGTCGAGCTTCTGGTTGATTTCGCCGATTAAGGTTGTCCAGTAAGTCCGTAGATCGAATTGCTTTGACGGGGTCGACAGCATCGAACTCGAAGAACAGCGAAACGGTCTCCTTGGAAAGGATAACTGGGGAGAAGATGAGATTACAGTTGAGAAGGCCATCATCTCTCTCCGTCGGACCGCTAATTAGGGATGAAGGGGGGAAAGGTTGAGATATAATAGTATATTGCTAGGACATACCATACACTTCTTTCTTATTTGTTTTATTGGAAGGAACTATGCTACTGTTTGGGGACGGTATGCTTACATAATAATTAATATACCTTAGGGGAGAATTGGGGATCAAGTATGAAAGTGTCCGTATCGGGTAGAAACGCTTAAATACGCTATTAAAATACATATAAATCATATAAATAAATTAATAATATTAAATTAAAAGCTGAATTATTTATGAATAAGATATAAAGATATGAGAAATGTATAATTCAATAGGTTATATGAAGAGAAATATTACAATAAATAATAGTGAAATTTTAGAACATTTAAATATTGTACAATCATTATCATTCTTTCAATTTTATAATTATAATTTTCAATTTTTATTAATTTTTGAGAATATTTATTAATTTAGTATTTTATTTAAATAACTCTTTTTTAAATAGTAAATATGTTTTCATTTGTAACATATAATATTTTTATTTTACACATAATTGTAAAATAAAACAAATAAATCATTTAAGGTAGATAAAATAAGTTTTATTTAATTTTCAATTTTTATTAAATTTTTTGGGAAAATTAAATCTTGAATTATTTGTTTCGGTTTTTATAATTATAATGTTATGTTTTCCATTAATTTTGTTGGGAAGTTTTATTTATTTAATATTTTTATATAATAACTATTTTTTAAATAATAACTATATTTTCATTTTTAACATATAATTATGTGTAAAATAAAATATATAAATCATACCAATGCAATGCAATATGACTCGATACGAAGCATATCATACCAATATCCATCTCATTGGATACGTATTCAGTCGTAACGTATCCTGTATTCATGATCATGGATATGAATACGATACGTTCTATATCAGAAGTATCGTATGGATACCTTAATCTTGGAAGGATCTCTTCCTAATAGAATTCCTTTTTACACGCTTCAAAATATAGTCTGAACTCACATATGTGGTGGGATCACCTGCCTTTCTTGCTAAGATGTGCGGTATCAGATTATGTTGATAGTGTTAAAACGTCTTTTTGTTGATAGGTGATTCAAATCCGAATTGAAATCTCCTGCGAATAAAACACGTTCCAACACCCTATCAACCTCTATTTTCTGCAACTCGGACAGTAGAAAACCAGCAGTTAAGACCTCCGTTTGATATTGTTCCGCGGGAGTGTTCTTTGTGTTCCAATATTTCTACGGAACACATTTTTTATTGTTTCGTGTTTTTTTTTTTTGTTTTTTTGAGTGGGAATAGCGTGTTCCCAACTCGAATTTTTGGAGTGACCAGGATGCCATTCCGCAGGAACCAGAAACTGGGCACATGTGGTTCCCATGACGTCATTGTTGAGTAATGGAAACGTGTATACGTTTCCCACGTGCTGAGCGGGGTTCCTCTTCCTACCACGGATACACTCTCAAGCCTTTGCAGAGCTTCGACCAGGCTGATCGGTCGCATTTTTCAGTTGGTTTTCTTGCTATCAATCTTCACCTTCTTTTCGCCGCACAGGTAAGAACCTTCACTCCTTGCTTAGTTCGCCTCTCAATGCTTTTTACCCCTATTTATTTTTTATTTTCATTATCTCTATTTAACAAGCAATTTGCTTGTTTATTGTAAAAATGTATTAGGTTTGAACCAACGTTCAAAGTATTGACATGTATTAATCCGTATGGGCCAATATATATCGTATCAGGGGTATTCCGATATACCTCTATAGAGGGTGTATCGGGGTTCTGACTGGTTCGGGGGGTGGAGGAGCCTTAAAACTGGCCCCCTGAACCGGTTTTGAAAAAACAAAAAAAAAAGTAAAAAAAAGATCGATACTGCCTGATACACCCCTACCATCATATCGGGTGTATCGATATTTAAAACCTTGGTTTGAACTTCCTCTTGAGATTAACAAAAAAAAAGTATTGATTTATGACATTGAATTTATTTACTTAGATAAACAATTATCAAATGATGGACAATGGAAGACATCATTTCTATGTGGTCTTTTTTTATTACTTTTATGTGGACTTGTCCAAGTATGGATTTGAAAAAATAATGTTAAGATTAACAATATATTCAAACATTGTTTCTGTTTCTTTAGAATAGAAACTTGTTCTTAAGGCTCAGTTTGGAAAGACTATAAATGCAAATATGTACAGCATAAATATATACAAAATAATACAAAATATAAGGTTTTACCCTCTACGTATTTACATTTGTACTCCTTCCAAACTCAGCCTAAGGAACAAATTGCCAAACACTAGTGTTATTCCCTAGGAACCAAAAATTCTAATTCTAAAACAGGAATTTCTCCAAGAATAAGAACAGGCAGGAACAATGCCAAATGGGGCCTAAGTCTCAATCTGATTTTTTAGATGACCAGCAGATATTTAATTGGAAGGTACATGTAAAGGGTAGAACGAAGGATCCACAAAATGTGGGTTTTGTATTTATACTCCTTCCAAACTTCAGCCTAAATGGTAAAATAGGGTAAAAAATTTAAGGGATAAGTGGACTGCAGAAATCTGAATTGCAGCCCCCTCCTAGTTTACCCATGAATTTGACATCAATCCACAGGCAAGATTTAGTCCACCACTATAAATCTTAACTCGAACCGAACTATAAAAACCCCAAGATTTAAAGATTTATTAAATATACTCTAAATTTTAGTAAGTCGACTTACAGACACCTTAAGTTTCTTAAAAATATTTAAATATATCTTGTGACTTTTTACCCTTCATTTTTTTTCAAATTTTCAAAATATATTCTGAATTTTTCAAACTCATGTGGGTGTTGGGCTATTAGTAAAAAATGCCACAGGACAATAGGTCTTCACCCCCAAGAATAGGATAAAAAATACAGATAAAAAAGAAATGCCCAATGTGAACCCATCCTATCTCTAACTCCAATCTTTATCTTCTTTTGAATATTCATGTTTCATAGATTTCTGAAACCATGGAAATGGTCTCCAACTAAGACTTTAAGGGGGTGTTAATATCTTATTCTGTAAAACACATTTCTTCTTGGAAGTAAACTTTAAGGGGGAGTTCTTCTTTCAGATTTTGAGAGAGAAAGTTGATCAATAGAATTTTGATTCTTATTGACCAAGAATCCCATGTTCTTTTCAGATTTATGTAGAAACCAGGGAAACTTTATTTTCTTGATACCACTTACCCGGGTAAGTAATACCCATCTCCCAGGTGAGTAAATAACTTTCCCACCTATAGGAAAAGTTGTCAAAACTTGAATAAGACAAAAATGCCCCTTTTAATTATAGACTTTTATGAATAAAATGGTCATTGCACTATTTACATGAGAAATAAAAATATATGAATAAATGCACTTATCCGAATAAGTGTTTCGCAAGAAAAACTTACCCAAATAATTGCATTTACCCAAATAAATAGCTTACCAAAAAACGAACAGGGTCTAAGACTATATTTAATTTCCCTACCTTTCCCTACTTTTTCCTTCAAACCAATCCCATCTCTCTTTCAACCATTAAATCCAGAATATCAGATGAGATAAATTTCATGTAAGCATTGATTCCTGTAACCAAATATTTAATATTCACTTTTCAATCTCTCCCCTATTTAATATTCCATTTTCTCTTCTCTCTTTTCACGTCTTTCTTCCACCTCACTTCTTTTTCTATTTCTATCCTGAAGCATATATTTAAGTCAAATTATGAAAACTGAAACTCAGGATATGTTTAAATCTTTTGTCCCCAATAAAAAATCATTTACTGGACGATGCCGGAACCATCACAAACCTTCACTCCTTTTTATTTCCCACAGCCCAAAGCTCATAGGCAAAAGCTTATCAAAACGAAGCTTTAATTTTTTTTTTTTTTTTTTTTTTGCCTCAAACAATTTCTTATCTATCATCCAAAACAAACAACTGAAACAAATACTACAGAACGTAAAACACAAGATTGTGAACATGGCCCTGATATCGAGAAAACCTTGGCCGTTTTCCCTGAGTGTCCCCATCAACCATCTTAAATCGACGGACCAACCACAGTATATCCATGCAACAGAGACACTAAAAGCAAGCAATTTAAGCAGGGTATATATGCAACCAAAGATGGTTAATGTAGTTTTTCATCCAATCCAAGATCACAACTCACAAGATCTTTAAGTAAGAATGTCTACCAAGTCCTGCCAAGTGGCGTATACATAAACTTTTTATATGTCAGTTAATTTTTTGTTGTGTTAGTTTTCATCTTGGCTTTTCCCTCGGGGATCAGCTGTTTCAACCTCGGCAGCTTGAAGTTGCTTCAAGCTCAACCTCTCCTTGTATTCCTTCAATTCTCTCCTGTATCTTTCCTTATCCTTTAACCCAATATTTTGATAAACCTATAAAGAACAAACAAAATTTAAATGCCTTCATATTAAAAATAAACAAAATTATCAAAAACACATTTCATGAAGAATGACAATAGAATGAGAAACTTACCATCCGTTCTTCTTCACTGAGTTTGAACCAGGATTCTCCAATCATTTTAGTGAACTCTCTTTCTTTGCTAGGGTACAGAGCTTTGAGCATGGAATGCTTTTCAGCAAAGAAGAAGTTGTAACCGCTTCGGTTGGGTTTTGGGTGGCTAGGATCTCCATGCTTCCTCCGCCGCTTCTTCTTACCACTAAGGCGAGGAGTAGACTCACAAGAGATGCCAGCATTGATGGGAGAGATGGAAGAAGAAGGGGCTGTTGATGGAGGGTGGTAAAGTATCCCATGTAGGATATCCGAACCCAATTTCACACTAACCAAATAACCATAGTCAAATTTCCCATCAATTGTTCCAACCACTGGTAAATACGAATGTTCTGATGAAAAAGAGGGTAAAAGCACAAGGTGAGAAGTAGAGTGAAGGTACAAATTAAGCAGTTGTGTATTTCAGACAACTACTGCAGAGACATGTAATCCATCAGATAACCTTTCACTTTCTAAAGAGGTGTTGTGTGTCAGAGCGATTTATGTTGATAAACCTATTAAGGTAATTAAGGTTTGTGTGGTATTTATATACTCATTTATGGAGAGGTTTTCTTTTAGTTCCTCTAAGAAAGAATGGAAAAACCTTGGTTGGACACACGGGAAGTTTAGTAGTGTTGCTTTCTTGTTTCTAACCCTCACATGATGACTATATTCTAGTAGTTTTGAAGAATAATTAATTTAATCTTTATGATTCATAGAAATATTAATAATGGATATTTGGCCAAATGAAGACTGAAGGGGGTTCAATGAGCTGAAACTCTATTATATGGGGAGAGTGATGTTGCAAATGAGTAGTGAAGGGAAAATATTTGTTTACACCCAAGATCATTTTTTTCTAGGTAATTTGTTCAGTTAAGCCCCTATATAAAGTTTGCAGTACCATTTCAATCATATTTGTCTTGGGTTGGCTAAAAATTATATAATGGTGATACACAGGACAAAATCAGGCCTCTTTTGGAATCGTGGTTCTAAAATATGAAGGTTTTTTTGTTGGAGCAAGAGTTGATTGCGTGAATGCATCATCTGCTGATCTGCTCTAGCAACTGAAGTGTGTACTATTTTTTTCAATAGGTGCATGCTATTTTAGAAGCCTGCTGCATAAACTTGAACTTTGAATTTGAAAGTGAATGTGAAAACATCAGCAAACCTAAAAAGAAAGTTTTGATTCTGATATAGAGGTCCCTTCAACTAGAAAATTTCCCATGAAGCTGATAGCATGAACTTCAAGTTTTCTTTTGTCAAAAATGGAAATGAATCAGTCCAGCTTGCTGCTCAAACATGATTTAGAAGGATTGTAGACCAAAATACCCTGTTGTGCAATTTTCCAAGTGGAAAAAACTGCACTCCTTTACATTCATCAAAAAAAAAAAAAAAAAACTGCACTCCTTTATCAGGCCCTTTACAAAACAGTAATAATACTAACAACAATGATAAAAGCAGCAACAACAACAAAGCCATAGCTTGTAGAGGTGCATTTGCATCTCTTGTATGTAAAAGTTATCAAGAGAAAAAAGGAGTGGCTTATCTAATGGACTTTGTTCCTATTAATAGTACTCAACGAACCATTAACTCGATAGCAAAAGAATCCAATGGAAGGCAGGGAACGGAGTTGTTGACACATGACCAATCAAATGATGGCTTATTTAATGAATAGTTTAGGCTGGCTACTACATCCTTTCACACGACTAAAAGAGGAGGGTGGTACAATAGATAAGAAATATCCCATCTTTCAACAAATGCACTCTCACGTGTAAAGTCTGTGCTCGCTTAACAGTAGAATAGAAGTTGCACAGGAAATTGAGCACATAGTAACATTGTTTATTGTAAATGATTTATCTAAGAATACAATAACATTTATCCAAAACATTTCATGGAAGTCAGAAAACTCTAAATTAACATCAGCAGCTAGAGTAAACTAACATGACTTCATGTTAGCATCGATGCAGTTTCCATATTATGACTATTTAGGGGGTTTTCTCTGATGTAAATTCTTTTTTTTTTTCTTTCTTTCTTTTCTTGGTTGTTAGTTCCATAAACAAGGCTTGGGAAAATAATGATCCTTAAAAGAAAACACAATAAATATGTTCTTGGTTGTGTGCAACTTCTTGAATTACTCGTTTCAAAGAGATGTTTTTTATGGTAGCTCATATCAGCCTTATTGAAGTGAAAATATGTTTTTGTTTCTATCATGTTGGAGAAGACATCCTTAAATTTTACTTGAAAGTGAGTGAGTTTTTTTTTTTTTTGGACGTGGCCAGTCGCCAGTGGTAATGTGCCAGACAACCCTCTTTTCCTCACAATATTATGATTTGTTAGAAAAGCATTTTTTTTTGCTAATGACTCAGTACTACAATTCAACTAACAAATCAAAGTTCTTATGGATATGCCCTAACCCTCTGTATTTCTAGCCACGACATCTAAAGATATATTCAACGTACAATATTGAGATTATGGGCTAATTCATTCCCATGAGTGGCATTATATCCTGCCTATATTATCTTTAATTTTGTAAACATATCTTGGTCTATGAAAAGTCCTCCTAGAGGTAAACCTGTTCACAGGCCAGGCTTGGCTCAGCCCATGAACATTTTACACTGCTTTGACCTCGGGATTCAAGCTGGGGACATTCAAATTTTGGCAAAAGCTAATCCTGAGCCCAGTCCATGAACAGGTCTACCTGAAGGAAAACCATCCCGTGTTCTCTTCTTATTATTCAAATTTAAGTATAAGATAGTATCACAACGAGGTCGCACCCACCACTACCACCACCATCATCATCATAAATTATGAGACCAATTGATGGTTGCCTCCATCTATTATTCCTTTCTGCTATTTTCGCAGATTTCTTTGACCTTGTGGAAGATAAGATTTGTGTAAAACTTGTGGTTGTGGTGCCATTTGGATAAAGCCTTTGTCATCAACTCTCTCTCACATGAAAGAGCTCTTCATCCCAAGGATACTCTTTTTCAACTTTTTCTTTGAGCTTATGACAAAAGTGAACAGAAAAATAAAGAAGGGTTATTATCTCTTACTTCCCTTCACTTTTTCTAACACTTTTAAACTTACCCCAATTTTTCGACACCTCTAGAGTCTAGAGACCCCCCCTCCCCCCGGTATGAGGGTCCACGGCCACATTCCAACCCCTCTTTTTGTAAATCATACTACAAAGTACAACCATAACTATAGAACTCGATGTACACTATCAATCCCCCCAAGTGTAGAATAAAATGCAATCCTCATATCACAATTGATTCCATCCAAACACAATAGAACTTTCAAAGAACAAACAGAACAAAAGGAACAAACATACTAACCTCTGATATTCAGGTCAGGGGAATTCGTTGTCGTCTTCTGGGATGTCTGTTCTTGTTGCTGCTGCATAGACTCAGAACCAGATTCCATGGGATGAGGCATTTCTGATTTACATGGTGGACTCATCACAGGCAATGCCTCTGCAATAACATCGACAAACCCCCAAAAAAAGAAACCAAAAACCAAAAACGAATGAGACAAAAAGGCAAAGGAGAAGACACACAGAGAAAGCACAAGGAGGGCGAACAAGAGGAGGGTAAAACTAAAAGAAAGAGAGGAGAAAGTACACATATTGGAGTGAGTAAGGGACCTGGTAACTTAAAGAAATAAACTTGTTCGTAGAAGTGAAGAAGGCTGGAGTAATGTTTCCTCAGCACAAAAGAAGCGCTTGTTGTGGTGGGAGAGAAGTTGAAAGCAGCACTCACATCCCTCCATTTCTTTTCTCTTACCACCTGATATTTAAACACCGTATACACTACCTTTATAACTATTTCAAGTCTTGGCATCACTGTGTTATTGTATCAGTCCCAAGTTACAAACCTGTTGAAAACCACCTCTTTTGGTAACTTCCACGTACAACAGATGCAAATCCAGCTCTTTGCCTCCGATAACCGGAACCCTTCAAGCAACAGAAACCGAAAAAAAAAAAAAACCCTTAGATTTCTTTTTGAAGAAGAAACATCTTTTTAATACGCGGATAAAGAACATAAATTTCAAAAAAAAAAAAAAAAGAAGCATACATGAACTTGGTACCCAGGTTAGAATGGAACTGCCGGAGAGTATCCCAAAAGACTGTCGGGTTCTTGACAACATCCTCGTGAGATGAGAGTGGTGAAGGATAACCCTTATCCTCCACCACATTCACCTGTGTCATTATTGCAATTTTCTCCTCCTCCGGCTCCGACGACATTAATCTCGTCGGGGACGGACCAGTCGCCGAACCGGGAAAACCTAAAAAAAATGAAAAAAGAAAATAAGGGGAAATATGAAAAGAAATGACACTAATGCATAATGTTGGCTTTTGCAGGGCAATTAATGGCTGAGCAACTAAGCACAGACGAAAAGGTTCTAAGGTTAGGTTATTCAATTATCTCTCGGCGGGATACATAATTACGACTTTGCCCTCCTGGTTGCCTCCTTGGTCCTTGCTTTGCCTCTCTGCTATCTGGACTCTAATTCTTCCCCTCTTCCCTTCCTCCGGACCATTCCTGTCTCTGTTCACCTGACATCTCTCTCTCTCCCAGTCTCTTGTTTTTCTTTTTCTCTTCACCGTCACCGTATCTGGATAGTATCACAGCCGTACATTTACTAAATATCTAATGACCATACTGACCTACCGACTATAACATTGCACTTGAACCAAAATCTTCTTTTCATCGGGATTCAGAACGTATCTTCTTTCTTTCTTTGGAATGAAGGATTTGTTTATTAATTGTTAGAAAAATAAATTCTTAAGGAAGCCAAATTAGCCAACTAGGCGCTAGCCAAGTAGGGGATACAGTCCAGCCACGTGGACAAATGACCGGTTAAATGTATCCGAGACCTTATAACTAATCCACGTGTATTAAAATCACGCTTTACTTTTATTGATAACATTTATATAAGTTTTTTTTTTTCTACCGACCAAAACTGAAGCCAATTGAATATATTAGTTCTGATTCTAACTTACTAAGATTTTGTTTCAAATTAATTACTTAGGTATTGCGTCCAAATACGATGGCAATTTTAAAAATTTTCAGGTATCTAATCCGTCCCGACCCTTATCCTATTAGGACATGTTTATAGAAATTTTATTGGGTTTGAGATTTTAGATTAAAATCCTATAGATTAAAACCCTATAGGGGTGTGATATATGTTTGGATTTTGACTTTAGGTTATTTGATATCTGATACTCTGTTTTATTTGATACAGGTATTTGTTGCTGATATTCCATTATAAATCTGGTCAAATAAAATATATGGTATAGTATAAAATAATTTATAATATAGGCTTTGTTTGGGAGTGCTTAAAAAATAAGTGCATATTCCAATAAGTACTTATTTGCATTTGGCTCATTTGGTAGTCTTTTTCTCTAATAAGTACTTAAATAAGCAATTGTGACTATTTTGTACTTCATTTTCTTTCAAATTTTCAAAATATACCTTTATGAAACTACTTTTATTAAATTACTTTTATAAAAACACTTTTACGAAAGTACTTTTATAAAAGTCAACTAGGTATAATTTTATAAATGGTATTTTAAAATTTAACCAGGGATAATTTTGGAAGAAAAATTTTGAATAAGTGCTTATTGTATAAGCACTTTAAAAAAGCTAGAAATTTGGGCTTAAAAATAAGTCCTTATTTTTAAAATAAGCACTTATTTCAGGATTATTTCCCAAATACCAATAAGTGCTTAATGGCCCAAATAAGCACTTATTTTTAAGCACTCGAAAACATGGCCATAATATATAAGAGAAATTAATTAAGTAAAAGCCAAGAGGAGCCTTATGGCTTATGACATTTCTAATTGGTTTATTTGCAAGTTATGGGGTGAGTTGCTTGTTTATGAAATTTAAATTTGTATTAATTAATTTTAAATTTTTATTTACATAATTATTAAAAAATTTAAATGGATTTTAAACTAATATAATTAGGATTTAATATTGCAAAGTACAAATGGTGTCTATTTGTCTAAATTCAAATTAAGAACCAATTGGTTTGGGAAAGTTTAAGTTCAGTCCAAGCAATGTTTCTAGGTGAAATATTTGTCTATGAATGTTAAATTTTTTTATCAATTATTTGTAATTATTTCTAAATTCAAATGGACTTTAAATTAATATTATTAGGATTTGGGGTTGCAATTTTCCAAATGCTATTTATTTGTCTGCATTTAAATTGAGACTCAATTGGTCTGGGTAAATTCAAGTCCAATCCAAGCATTATTTTTAGGTGATATACTTATTAGTTATTTTTAGAATATTATTGTTGTAATTAAGATTACAGGTGGCGTCTATCTATCAAAATTCAAAATCAAACTCAATTTGAAATGATACTCTTAACTCTGGATCAAATTCGGCTCTTACGAGGGACAGGGCTGGGGTAATTATGACCTTATGGGTATGGGGGACGAGTATAGGCTACCCTCATCCCCAAGCCCCAAACAGCTTATGATATCAAAATTAAAAGGAAAAAAAAAAAAAAAAGAAATCAAGTGCTTTAGAATTTGGTAGGGTGGTCATAGTTTGGCTGACCAAACCATGGAAAATTGTTTGAAACCCAATTAGTCCTTCGGTTTTTACAAATTGAGAACCAAAACCGAACCAAACTAATTGTTTAACTAATTGATTGGCTTAGTTCTTCATCAATTTGTTTCTTTGTTTTCTTTTTATATAGATGAAACCAAAAGGATTTATTGGTTTGATTTCCTTGGTTTGGTTCATTTTTTTCGGTTTTTTTTATGTGAACATTTCTAGAATTTAGAAGGATTTGACAGAGTTTTCTTGTATGGCATAAGTCTCATATATATTACATTATAATATATGGAATTATCTTATACCGTTATTGTGCATTACAATATATATTAGAACATAATATATATTACATAACTTTTAATATATATATATAGATCAAATCACCAACATACCCTTTAAATGCATAACTGTTTTAGGAATTAGGACTTTAAGAATTTTCTTTTTTTAAGTCAAGTTTCAATCCTTCAACCTTCATGTTTATTTGTTTACCCATTTACCATTAAGGTTTAATAGTTAAGACTAGGATTCAAGACCTATGGACGAGTAACTTTTGGGTTTTCTGTTGGATTTTTGGTTCTTTGAAATTATAAAGTTATTTTTGTTTTTTTATTTATATACTATTTTATTTGTTATTTTATATAGAAGGATTCTATGTAATGTTAGTTCTTGTTGAATGTTGTTGGTTGGTAATGAATTTTGAAGAACTTTTTTTTTATATACTTAATATTGAAATTAAAAAAAAAATTAACTTGATCATATAATGATCAGTTGGGATGGGTCGAGATGAGTTTAATGGGTTTGCGATGGGACGACAGGTTTGAGAAATTGAGAGGAAAAGTTAGATGGGTTTGGGATGAAGGGTACATAGGCGGGTTCAAAAATGGGTAGGGCAATTTACACGGGTACCCTACTCATTGTCATTCCTCCCAAACCGATTATTTTGTTAACATTATATATGTGTATCTTAAATTTTCATAATTTTCATTATATTTTACGTCTAAAAGGGTATATTCAACAGATAATATATAAGATATTTTTAGTTAAAATCACTATCGTTTTATTAACATTATATTATGAAAATTGTTTTAAATTGATATTTATATAAATAATTATATATTGATATAATTGGGTCTATCAGGTCAAACATGATTATCCCAATTATTAATTGAGATGTTTCTAGATCTATGATTTTATCCTGATTAATAATTGGTTTGGGACAAGGCCACCTGTCCCAATCAAACTTAACCATTGACCTTTAGGAATGTAGCATATCATCATGCTTTTGTAGTTTATAAGGCAACATCTTCAATCTAGTAGCAAAAAAGTGCTTTTTTTGAAATTGATAACCCTTTCCATGATGTCTCTCACTCTAAGGCTGTGTTTGGTTTGAAGGAAAAGGAAGGGAAAAGAAGGGAAAGATAGGGAAACCTATACATGGTTTGTAAAGGCTTCCCTACATTTCCCTTCCTTTCCCTACACTTTCCATCAAACCCAACACGGCCTAAGTGCCCATTTACGAGGGCCTTCGGGGGCATTCTAGCTGGTTCATACATGGGAAGGGCCGAAGGTATGTCTGGTAAAATTTCAAAAAGCCAATATGGGGTTTTCAAACACTCAAACCACTGCTCAAATATAAAGCTATTCTAAGTCGTAGCTTATCTGATATGTTCAACTATCACAGCTCAATTAACACAATACACCCCAAAGGCAAAATCCCTCCTAAACAAGCTCTAAGACAAGTAATTCTTTCCCTTAGGTGACTTTCACCACGCTTGCTAGTTCTTCTCTCATGTCACTGTGTTGTCATTTGAACTTGACGAGGCAGTGAGAAGGGTTCTAATGCACATGTTTTCTAAATGTGTGAACTAAGAAGGTAGTCATATTGTGTATTGTCGGGAGAAAAAAAAAATGGTGTGTACTAGACTCAACAATTCCTAATAGACAAGCTCTAAGACTAAATGAGTCTAATGCACATTTATGCCAAGCCATAAATGTGGCAGAGGCAAGACAATAAACAAGAATGAGGGGTATCGATTTTCAAAATAGGCAATACAGTCAACACTATGAATTAAGGGAGAATATAGGGAGTTATTTATTTTTGTTAAGGCTGAGTTCGGAAGGAGTACAAATACAGTCAACACTATTTATTTATTTATTCTTGTTAGGCAATACATGGTGATTGAATTCTTTCACACAGAACAACTCCCCCAGGAAATAAATAATACTCAACATTAAACAACCCTTAAAAGGCTCCAAATACCTAGGCATCCACTTAGGTCTCAAGGAGAGAAGTGTGAGCTCTTACAAAGAGTTGATAGAGAAGCTATCTCCAAAAAGTAAATCGATGGAGTGCTAGGTTTCTCTCCCAAGCAGGCAGAAACACTCTCATTAAGTCGACTCTCCAGTCCATACTAGTGTACACACTCCAACATAGAGAGAACAATGCATGAGAGAATTCTGGTGATATGACAACAATTAAGCACAAGACAAAGCATGCAATATCTTGGTCCAAGCTTTGCCTTTCAAAGAAAATGAGAGGTTTAGGGATCAAACACAATCTCCAAATGAACAAAGCAATGTTCAGTAAACAAGTGCGGAGACTCCTTACTTGCCCCAACACTACATGGGCCAATGCTATAAAAGCCAAGTATATATTTCCTAGAACCAGCATTTTTGAGGCAAAAAGATGTCGGTCAAGTTCACATTGGTGGAAATGTGCTCATGATATTTTGAAGGGAAAAATCTGAAAGCCAGCTTGCTTTGGTTACTCAAGGATGGATCGTTACATCAAAGTCTATGACCTATGACCTCCTCCAAAACAATCAAAACTGGAATCACTCTATCATTTCTCATTACTTTTGAGGCCTCTAGTGTTCAACACATCTTAGCAACACCGTTGAACCACAGTCTGGATTCAGACCGACTTATCTGGCGCTGGAAACCAACCTAGCTCCTCTGGAAATTGTTTCAGCCTATAACCAGCTCTCCTCTGCTCTACCATCCTCATCCACTC